GAAAGAGGAAGGCTTTTCCAAAGACATAGTGAGTTATAGTGAGTCCTGCTATTCCTTGGTATCACAGGTGGGAACTTCATTATGCCTATTACCTGGATATTTTTCTGGCTGGTAATTATATTGTTAAATTATAAAACACCAAGCCACTTTGAACTTGATCCAAAAACTGCTCTTCTATTGCCATTTGAGGACTTTCTTCTTTAGTCATATTTTTAAAATAATTTCTCAATATCACTATAATCAATGGATCATTTTGTTGATTCCCTTTGCTCCATTGCAAGAGTTCCACTCTTTATGAAAGAAAGGCTACGTTTGCTGAACCAAAACTCCTGCGTTTGCTGAACCAAAACTCCTGCCCCTTACTCTGTTAATAAATTCATATTAGCTTACGGTGTTTGACTGAAAATTCAGACTCATTCCACACCTGTGTGGCGGGCTGGATGCTCGAGAGGTCCACGTCAGCTAGGTAGAGGAATACCTTTTTCACATGCCCCAGCATGGCTCCCGCGTTGCCCCACAAGTTTCTACCAGTACAACGGCCGACATTGTCTGCAAGGAGCAACTCAGATTACTGCCCCTTGCTGCTGCCTCCTCGCTGACCCTGCTCCTGCTCCAGGCTGCGCATGCTCTCCCCTTGTATGCTGAGACATCAGGCTGCTGTCTGTGAGGCCTAATTCTGCCCTTGAGGGTGGCCTTGGATGCAGTTTAAAAGGCAACTCAGACATGCTGCTGGGATAACTTGGAAAGACTATTTTCAGGTAGAATTTCTCCTAAAATGTAGTTCTACATGCACACAGTTTCATCTTTACACAAAGGATTTATATAAGAACTCACTTCCCTCTGTTGGTTATGAGAAAAGCGTGCTGGCGGGATTTAGGGAAGTGTGCAAACTAGAGGATAGCTGCAGACAAAAGAGAGTTTTTCTTCTAAGAACATCTACACAGCTGGAGCTCTGGCAGCCCGGCAGTTAAGAAGCCTAGGTGTTGTCTGGCCAGGGTCAGGGACAAAGTCTCTCCTCCCATGCTTCAGTGTATGGCCAGCAGTTCTCAAAGTAGTCCCTTGCCACTTACACACATCCGCATACGCACAATTTTGCCCTCAAATGCCTGCTTTTGAGAAACTTCCACCCTGCAGGCAGACTGTAAGCAAATGACCTTAGGAGAGTAAAGGTGAAGAAACTCTTTGTGACTCCTTTACATACTAAAATTGATGTAAAACAGCCACAGAGTTAACCCAGCCTCCTGGCTGAATATCATTGCCATAGTGGCTCTAGACCAGCACAAAACCAATGTCCCAACCCCTAGATGCCCTGTAAAAATAAGCTTATAACATACAGTGGAGAGACCTTAGCAACTGATTTACTACAGAGGGCAGCCCTGGCAGCCTAGGAAGAACCTAGGCTATAGGGACAGGAAAGATGCTGCCTTTTGGCTCTGCACCTGTAAAGGTCTTTCTGAGGTCAAGTCACCACCCACGAGGATAACGCTGGCTAATGCTGTCTGAACTGCTTTCTGGTGTGAATGAAATGTGTGGGTGAGGCAGAAGTTGCTTGAGTTTTGTTTCTCTTGAGCAGGCCCTGTTTAGCCATCTCTGCCCTCCAAAGGCAATGAGTCCCAAATTCAAAGACATATCCAAACAATACAGCCTGTGTGCTTGACTTTAAAACAGTGTGATACTTAAAACTGAATATAAACAAGAACTAGGCTTTAGATCTTACTCAAATCTCAGTGTAACTTTGAGGCTGTCAGGCAGCGCTGAAGTGAGAGATCTAGCGAAGGAAAATTAGTGAACACAAAAGTCATGATATTTACTCAGTTTATGCGTTTTCTCTCTTTTTTTCATAAAACCTGCATAACTGGCATGTAATTGTTTTGCTAAGTGAGCCTTGAAAGTGAGAGTCTTGATAGCTGTCAAATATCTCCTTTGTAGTACAGTGTGTTGTCCTTAGAAGCTAATGAGTAGAACTTGCTCAGAAGAACTTAATCAGCAGAACTGAGCACATTGTCAGTGCTTAACAAATAATAAATTATAATAATAGCAGCAGTTCCTTTTGACACAACCTATCAAACTTTTGCTTTGTTTCTGGGAGTGCCTTACTTGCTTCTAGTTAAGATTTAATATCTACAACTATCTATCTAGCTCTGATTACTAAGGTTGAGAGGACTGGTGATATAACCTAACAGAGTGGAAGTATTGATCGAAATGAAATTTTGACAAATTGCCGAAAAGAATCCTGAGGACATTCTTAAGATTGTTCCTTTTCACTTACTGATGTTTCCTATAAGGCTTAAAAAAACGGAACCTGGGAACAAACTGAATCAATTCCATTGTTAAAATATAAAACACTATGCTTACAAGTTAATAGAGTCACATTTGAGTTTCCCAATAGTCTCTTTTTTAAAAGACAGGCTTATTAGGTCTGCCTTAGAAAAAGGTGACTGTGTCTAGAATCACGTCTATTATTAGTAATTATTATTACTGTAAAGGGAATGGATAGCTCAGAGGGCTATTAACAGGTCTGAGGCTATCACTTCTTTGTCATCATTGTAATTTGGCCCAGGCTGGGAGTTACTGACAATCATTTCATTTTCTGATTGTTTGGTAGTTTATATGCAATTAGTTGGTGAGTTTTATTCGCTTTCAACAAGATGCATATCCACATTATAAAGAAAACCACCAGGTCAGCTCTAAGCTGCCACTAATTGTGACGGACTTAAATGGAGCTGTGTCAATTTATCCCAGTTGAGGATCTGACCAATGATCACGACTGGCATTAATTAGCAGATGTGTTATCAGACTCCGCGGAGATGCCCTGGGTTGAGTGACAATGGAGTCTCTCAGCTGGTGTAAATGAGTGTTGTGCTGCCGAAGTTAGTGGAGCTGTGCCAGTCTGCCAGCTGATGGCTCCGCTCCCACCTCCGACAGGTGGAAATTCCAGGTCAAGTTTGAAGCATACTTGTGGCACAGCTCCTGCCATGCACGAGCCGTGCTGTGCTTTATTGCCCAGCATAGAAGGATACGTTGAGGCTCAGGGCTCTCAGTTTTATTAAAGCACAAGCAACACAAACACATCTATTTAAAATCTGGTGGGGAAGGAAGCAAGGGAAAAGGGGGAGGAAGCACTAGTGCTAAACTGACTCATCCTTGAGCCTGGTATGTATGAGAGATTGGGCTGCTAGTGCTAAGCGAAAGCCTCCGGTAAATGTGTTGAGACTCTGTTTTTTCCAGTGTTACATGTGTGCTGTCTGAACTAACACTGTAACGTGAGTTGCATGCATGTGACAAAAGGATGGGGAAGATGCCTCTAAGAAGAAGTGACTCTAAAAGGCAATAGGTTTTCTCAGTAGCAGCTACCAGCACCTGCACTGCTATTATAGCTGTAAATGGGGAGTTTGAACTGTGACTGAAGAAGCGTTTTGAGCAGGACATGTGGGTAAATGGAGAGCAGGAAGGAGTCAAATCTGCATTTTTAACAGAAGGGGAACAGTGTACCGTCCTCTCTTTGCATTTATTTGGGTACGGTACAGGTTCAATCCAAGCTAATGATCCATGCAGATGCTCCTTTCTCCGTGATTCTGAGCTGGAGCAGCCACTCTGTCTTCTTTATTTTTCCCACCTGCCACCACAGGATGGTGGAAAGGAATGAACTGTCAAGCTAACTGGTGGGACCTTAGTCTGTAAAGATTTCTGTTCTCCCTACTAGTATGGGTACCCAAAGTCCCCAGCATAAAGCTGGACCTCAGTTGGATCAGTGAGTAATTCCTTCAGCCCTTACCAGCTTCTGACACTTTCTCAAAATTGGCACAAGTTAGCAGAACTCACGCTTTTTGGGACAGTAAGAAAAAATTTCTGCTCACTGTGAGACTTGCTACAGCCAAAGAAAGGAGACTAGCAGGAGGGTGAGGCTTAAATAGTAAGGGTGGTACAGGAGTCATTAGGCTGGTCCCAGGCCTCTGACCTAGCCAGTGGAAAGGTGGATATCTGAGAAACGTGAAGTAGTAACTAGTACCCGCAAACATACACCCTTTCTATACACATTTTCCACCATCTTAAGTCAGATATGAAAAGATGTTTAGACACCTAGTTGCTATGACAAATCTGGTTCTTTCTCTGAATAGTCATCTTTAGGCTCAGATCCACAAAAGGAGATGACTGAGACCTTGGGTGGGATGTAGACCTACAAGCTCAGGATCCCAAGCTGCATGTCCCCTAACTTCATCATCCCAATTTTTACTAATAAAGATCTCAAGACATTTACAATTTTCCTTTTGCTTATCTATAAAGAGAGCAGGAACTCTAGCCAGAAAGCTACAAGCTAAATATTCACGGGGGAAAATATTTTCCGTACTTCCTGTAAAAGTGATGCTGATACATATAAGGTTCACTGGGAGGAGTTTAAGGCAACAAGGTGGAGAATAAGATACCTTCTCCTGCCTTCCTCTGCTGAATTATCTTTCTCCACATTTAGCAATTTTGGATTGGTACAAGACAGAAGATTTTGTTCAGCATACTCATTGCTATGTAAGGTTTTTCTAAAATATTGGTTTCACAGCCTAGTGAAAAGACACTGATTTTTCAGAAAAATCAGTAAAATATGTCCTCAAAGAATATACAGATGTGATGATTACTGGAGTTTTAATTAAAATATCAAGGAAAATAAGCATTATGGTGTGTTATTATTTCTAAGATAGCAACAGAATAAGGATGCTCATTTCTTTCTTGAGTGCAATTTTCTAAATGAAAAAGTAAACATTAATATCTTCAGAGATCTTACTGATCTGGTACAATAATTTAGAAAAATATCTCTATTAGGTATAGTTATATATGCTTTTTGTTGGAAATGCAATCACAGAATATGCACATAGCTGCAATCTGTAGATAGATTAAGTAAATTAAATCACTCAATGTCTTTTTTCAATAGCTCTAAAGTTAAAAGTAATTTGCAAAGAAAATACTCAGTTTCAATTGGCTTGTAATATCTGTTAATGATCTTTGGAAAAATTTTTGATAACACACGGGAATTCCCTCAGGGATAGGGTTGTGAGTAAGTGGATTTTTTTAAGTTTGAGATGTCATTAGCTAGTGATTTCTTTGAAGTAAAAAGCTGTTATAGAATAAATTGCAGAGGTATACAAGTGAACAGGACAATCATTTTTATGAATAATAGACGTTTGTTCCACTGTGCTTTCTGCCCCAAAAAGAAAAAAAAAATTTAAATCTAAGTTGCTGTTATAAATATAACGAAATCACAAATGCCTATGCATTTTGTGCTTACTTTATGTATATACTATGTCTTTATAAGAATGTATGCACTGCTAGTGTAAAACACTAATGTAAGCATCTATTTTGCTCTCTTTCTTTTCTTTCTTTCTTTGCTAGATAACTTTTTCAACCCACAAGGCTGAATCATTTCCCCTAACCGAAATGGCTCCAGCACAGCTATCCCCCAGAAGACATCCTCCCTCATTTCTTACAGGCCCTATAAGATAGTTGAAGTTGCAGGTAAGTACAATCACGGAAAAAAAAGGTCTTTATTCTCACAATACTTTGTTAGTGTGACATCTCCCCATCTCTTTGACCTTTTAGAGATGATCCAGATATCCATCGTATACCACTAGAATAAGCTGGCATTTTTCACAGAGATGAATGGAAGATCTCCAGGACACTTCTCCCATCTGAGAAATCTGAAGTAGAAAGATCAATAGGGGCATCATAAACTACACCTGTCCCTGAGAGCCCTGGGGAACATTGCCCTGTTTTGGGGTTCAGCTTGCAATTCAGGCATGTGCAGATGAGGATGAAGCTTACATCTTCACAGGTTCCCATGGGTGGGTGATGTGGGTGTGGGTTTTGACAGGGACAGGGGACACTCTGAAGGGATGCTGGTGTGGGTGATGGGGGGCTTGGGCTTCAGGGTGTGCTATGACATTAATTAAAAGGTAAACCTAGTTGCCACAGAGCAACTGTATGAAACTATAGAGCCTTTGGCTTCATCTCCCTCCTCCAAACTCGTTTGACCAAGACCTTATTAATCTTGCTCCCTTTTTCCTGACCTACAGACAGGGCTGTGGGGCAAACGAGGCTGTAAGGAACAAGACTGCTGCCTCCATGATTCCTGTGCAGGGACCCAGGAATGAGGATTCGCCCAGATCTAGGAAGAGTCGTGAAGAGCCATAGGTTTGACAAGCTTCCTGCTCTGTTCAGGGTCCTCTGAAGGCCAAGTGTAGGGGACAATACCTGTCCTCAAACTGGTTATTCCTCAGTAGGTCAGACAGCCCCTCACCTCCCGTATGCAATGTTCAGTGCTGCTCTGTATTTGCTCCAAGAATAATGGGGCTTCATCCTGAACATGCCTTAATCATCGCTGGTGTTGGTCAACCCAGTAAGTTGTCTTGACTTTGGGCAGAGGCCAATACCAGCTGATGTCAAAGGAAACCATCACTCCTGACTGTAGAACAGTGCAGCATGGAGGATGAGGCCATCCTGACCCCATTTAATGACTAGCACATGTCAAGAACTATTGGAATGATTACAATTATTACATAATTCCAGCTGATAAAACTCTCTCAGATTTTTTTCTAAGGCTAGGAGCAACCATCATCATCATCTAATCTGATCTTCTGCATAATATATGCCACTGAACTTCACTCAATCTGAACTTTTTGTGACAATTTGCTTTAATGCCTGAAAATGCCTCATCATTTACAAATATGCTGTTTATCTCAGTGCTATCTTTGTAACACCAAGTCCCATTAATAAACTGTACATTGTATGGAAAAGTAATACCTCTTAACCATTTGAAATTTGATACCTCTTTGTTTCACCTTGCAGGATAGGAAAGGGGCCTTTTTCCTTTGCTGCTAATTAGGTTTAAAGATCATGAGGATGGAATGTTATTTATATTACAGTCATGCTTAAGTAGAGCTCTGACAAAGCCTGGGGGACTCCACTGCTTGAACCAAGGGAGACAATGCAAGTCCTTCGGGGCTGAGACTGTTTGAATAGACAGATGACACATTTTCAAAAGAGCTGAGTGATCTAACTGGAAAGAATGTCAGATAAGTCAGGGGATTCATACCCTGCATGAATCACCTATGCATTTCTGAAATATTAATCTGAAGACTGAGGGAAGGAAAGGTACTGAAAAAATAAGTTACTACGACTGGGACCAGAAAATGAGTTTGGGATATAGTTTGTGAAAGAAAACAGGTACGTTCATTTGTAGCTCTGGGTCCTGCGCACTGTCCATAGGCCATTTTGGCTTCCAGTGCCTGAGTGTCTCATGGTCTGAAAGTCCTCTAAGGTAGGAGGAACCAAAGAAAGCATCTGCAACTTCTGCTTCATGCAATGGCCCAAAGGCTTTCAGCAGAATCACAAGGACTGCTAGGGGGCAAGTGGATCTTCTAGATTAGCTGAAGCAAAAGAGGTTGTTCCAAGGTTATGGAAAGGGTTCAGGTATGATTTGCGATCCAATGAGGGTGAATCTCGCCTGAGAGAGAGACTGGTGCTTGTGTTCTTTATCTCTTCTCAAGAAATTCCCCATCCTTTTGACTTTTATCATTTTTATTGCCATTCTCTAGACCTGTTCTATATCTACTTTCTTTTTTTCAGAGATGAGGTGACCAAATTTGAAGACAGTATTCAAAGTGAGGATGTGCCACTGATTTATATAATGGCATTATAATATTTTCCATATTATTCTCTAAAATTCTTTTCTTCGTACAAACCCCATAAGATTCTTTTTAATTCTTTGAACTACAGTGCCTTTTAACATCTGTAGTTTACTCTGATCAGATTTTGACAAAGGAATAAAAGACTCCATTTTTCACATAGAATTTTATTTATTGTCTGAACTTTAGAGGAGAAATTGGTTAACTTGCAATTTAAAATTCTTGGCAATGTAGACCATTGGGCAAGGATTTCATTATCAGCCCTTCTATATTTTCGTTAAAAAAGCATGAGGCTGCAAGTTGGTGTACAAGATCTTGCCTCAAAAGTTTGACTTTCGTACCTTGTTGTATTATAAACACAGCTAAATACTGAGTTTGGAGCTGCCATCATCCCTAAAGATGTCAAAAATGCCATTCTTCTGTACCCCTTCTGTGATGAAACATGCTGGAGCGATGCATTTTCATGCTGTTCTCCCAATGTCACGCATGTGTGCAAGTGGCACATGAGTCCTGCGCTCTGAGGTCTTCTGTTCACTGTACCATATACCCTCACTAGGTCAAGGGAAGACCTTTTTGAAAATGTGGCTCTTGATCTTGCTCTCATGTCACAGCTGGGCATTACGTCTTCATCAGGGTATTAGAAAAGGCTCAAGGAAAAAAGTTACATCTATTCTATTGCCAAAGATGCTTTCTGCAGCTTCTGGCTTTCCTTAGAGTTACCAATCCAAGTGCTGGCCCTGCCTGACTCTACTTATTTTGTGACAGCAGATAAGACCACAGCCTGAAGGGGTATAGCCACAGGCTCAGTGATAGCTACCAAAATGTCTATTTAGTATTTTCAAGAAATACTGCCCTAAAGATTTACAATACCAGCTGCTAGATACGTGGACAGCACCAGAGCGCAGCCCTGGCCCCTGAACGTTTCGCCCCACTTACGCAGAAGTTAATGCCTCTCAGGAGGCCAAGTAACGCTGAGTTGCCACAAAATGGTTATTCTCTACCTGCAAGTGAGCTGGAATTGAAGCATCATATGGTTGTGTACACTCAAGTACTGGATAAAAATAACATTCAAAAACTACAGATTTGAGTTCAGGGTTCATTGTTAGCTCCTTTCATCAGTTGCATTACTGCTCTAGCAGTAAAAAGAGCTCTGCTATTTCTATGCAATATCTTTTTTGGTTTATTACAGAAAATTGTCTTCCATGACCAAAGCAGTTTTTCATAAGAAGCTATTTTTAGATGAACTGCTAGTTTCTTTCTTAGCAAACATTTTAGCTCAGCTATATGAAAGCAAATGCATGTTTTCCTGAATATCTCTAAGGATAAACACAGGTTTAAATAGTCAGGCAATGCTAAGAGGCTGATCTGGTTTAATTGTTTTATAATATACATTCATAGTTCTTGCTGAATGGTTTTTTTTTTCTTTTTAGAACAGCAAAGATATGGACAAAGACACTGAGGTCTTATTGCTCCTGTTGCAAACTTCTGCTGACTACAGCATGAGTTGGATTGGGCCCAGAAAAACCAAATACACACGTGTAACAATGAGTTGGCCATACAAGCAAGGAAAATCAGAGATAACAGATGCACACAAATTAGCAATGTACCTTTTAGGTCATTCAGTACAGCTCCCTGACGCTGTGAGATTATTTCCTACGGCATATTTTTGGCTGTTTTTTGTGTCTAGATTAAATGTCCTAAGTGATGCCATGTCCCTAGGGAGGGATTTTGCTGCCTAAAGGATCTCGTTGTCAGAAGTTTTTTTTCCTTTCTTAACATCACCATGTTTCACCTAGTTATATCCCTTTGCAAACCTCCTTTACAATTCTTTTCCTTCCTTGGTGTTGTTTCCCTTCAGTATCTTTATGCTACTGTGATGTTTCCTTTAGTTATCATTAAACCAACCTATACATGTTTAGCTCATTTAATCTTTTCTGATAAATCAGCTCTTTTGGTCTCCTGGTTATCCTTCCTCTTCTCTTGTCACACTGCTGCCTGTCAGCATCTTTTTTTGGTTATGAGATTTCAAAGATGTGATGCTTTCCTCTGAACTAATGACAGATCTGGCAGAGACATGAGCACCTTCAATTTCTTCTTACTAATAAACACTCCTGATGCACCCATGGGAAAGCCATCAGCATTCTGGATAGATGCACAAGTGGAGTATCCTGTTCAAACCACTTCCTTGGTATTACTTACTCTGTTGGTCAACGGTAGCCTTTTAAAACAGTTAACACAAATGGTTTAAAAATAAATGCCTATCATTATGAATTTCTTTTCACAATATTAGGAGATAGAATAGCACAGATTAAAAAGATTTTTTGCTGTTGTTTAGATTTTCTAACTCTTGATCATGGGCATCACTGTCTAATATTATTAAAGACATTGACTTGTCTAGCAACTGTATCTAAATGCTAGTAGAGTACATTGTAGAAAATAATTATGTACATATCACAAGCCTAGCTGTTCACTTCAGGCAATAAATTCTGATCAACAAACAACACTTCCTTAGTGCTAAATGAGATCTTGGTTGTAATTGAATGTCTTTACCTTTGTGTTCTGTTGGGTTGGAGGAATATCATTTTAATCTGCTCTCTTTAAATTTTCATTAAGGAACATTTCAGCTACCTGCAGCCTCATCTGATGATGTTTAATGATATCAGCTAGCTTGTTCTTCTGTGCACCAGCAGGGGCTTCTTTAAATTGGTCAACTGTACAGAACATTGTTTTTGAGTTTAATGTACTCAGAATCAACCTTTTAAAATAATGACATCTCTTAAAACGGTTTATATAATAGTACACACATACATGAGCATATGAGCATGTATTTATGTGTGCTTGTCTGTATATGTATATGTGTGTGTATGTATATATACGTACATACATACACACACACACATATATGCATGAGTGTATGCATACATACAGAAATAAAGGGCCAATCTACCTCTTTAAGACATTGTGACTAATGTTATAATTAAAAAGGTTCCAGTAAATTTGCAATGGTATGCATTTTTGTTGGAGTTTACTTCTGTAACCTAAGATCAGAAAGATAAGCTGTGAAATTCATATGCAGCTGATGACATAATGCTTGTATCTCGTGTTGTTGAACCTCATATTTGTAGGAGCATAGGATGGAGGTTCCTTGCTGGAATAATTATACTGCCAATGCAATATATGTTTCCTTGTTTACATGTGGGCACAGAGATGCCATCAAACCATTAAATATACATGGTATGATGACTCCTGTGTTCCTTATTCATTCTAAAGAAGGTATTAACTTTCTATGGTTGATTTATTGTATAATAAAACCAAGTACTCTCAAGAATCTGTGATGAACTTAGCAATAAGCTGTGACAATATACATATTTGCATTTAATAGTTACGGCCAACTGTACACATGTGCATAAATGTATGCATATGCATATATACAAACACGTATAGAGAGACATTTACACAAATTAAAGGAAATCAATTATGACACAGCATAAATAGATTCAAAGCTTACCTGTGATATCTATGTCAGGGAAAAATTTGAGCCACAAAGACGTGCGAAAAGCAGTACAGCTCAATACG